CTTTCTTTTGTTTTTTTCTTACCCCTAAGTACGCATTTTACTGACGACATATCCTGGACCGAAATGTATCGGTGGAGTCTTGGTTGAACCCGGCTGTAAACCCTTTCGTCAAAATTAGGCGAGAACAGCTACGATCTAATCAATGTAATTTCACATTTTTGAATATATGTCTGGACGTAATGCTTTCAGGAGACTTCTCTTTAACTACACATATGTGCCATGAGGTTGCCAATGGCATAGTGACCCAAAATTACATTGAGAGAACTTTAGCACTTGCAAACTCTGAACATAGCATAGTGCAGTTTACCTGTGTAAAACCTATTGTGTAATATGCTTGCACAATTTTGAACCTATAACTAGTATGTCTGATCAATAAACCTAAAAAATACAAAGCATAGCAGCGAAGTTTATACTAGGTAGGTACATAGAAAGTGCAATTCCTCACCAATGATAAACCGCCGAATAGGGAATTCTTGTCTCCTCGCCAGAAAAAATTGCGGTAAAAAATTTCGCATGAACTATTTCGTCATAAATCTAGAATTGTTGGGGGAACGTACTTAAATATTCAACACTATTATCGGCTTGGTGTGTTTCCTAGTGGAAAATGAACCTTCCTGGACCAGAAAAATCTGTATACTAATTCTTTTTCGTAAAGCTAACTCTCAGTGGAATTATGTCAGGAAAAGCACTGTGTTATTACGGTGAATGTACTATTGATTTCTAGTTTGTGACCCAGATAATTCAACGCGGTTGAAGAATGAAGGAGTGAACGCTTCTTTCCGTTTCTCTAGACTGTGGCCTGCAGCTTCTGAGCGCTGGATGAATTCCAATGGAAAGCGAGAATTCTGGAAAAGAAAAAAGTAGTGTTGTTCACACTTCCTCACTCTCTCATTATTCTGCAGCCTTTTACGCAATGTTTGGTTATTTGTTAACCAGTGCAAGCACAGACAAACCATGTGGCAGTTTTAGTTCTGGGATTTTTTTTGTTCTTGCTGTTGTTGCCTCTTCTAGCTCTCCTCATGGCGGAAAAGCGATGCGTCACTGCCATATTCGCTAGCTATCATTCAAAACATGCTTAAACAGGCTGTGCATATTACACTACGAACCTTATCTTGCAGAAAAGAGAGGACAATAATAACCCTCGTATCATTGCGAAGGATAAAGTAGGCGGCAAGCCCGCGCAGCTTTCATGGGTGGTTTCTTTCTCAACGCCGCAGGTGTTGTGTGGGCCAGCCACGGAAGAAAAGATGGTGAATGTAAAAGTGGGGTTGCTCTGTGTTTGATATGGCAAACATCAATCTGTCCCCTCTCAATGGCTTGGTCACGACATTTGTGTCTTCGGCATGTCGCTGTTTCTATAGAGGTCCTGTAATGTTTTTGTCTCTTTATTTATCTCGGTTCTATGACGTACGATTGTAAGGTATATAAGCGCTTGCACATCCCTTGATTGTCCGGCTTCAGCTTCGATTCAGCTCTAGGTGAGTGCCTCAGGAAGTGATTAATGCTTCTTCGCATGAACTGCTCATGCATCGTGCGAATTTTTATAAATAATCTTGATAAAGAATGACCACAATCTTTATTTTGCATGAGCTGTTGCAGCTCCTGCTTTTTATTGCCATTTTGGAATGGCGTGAAAACGTTTGTATAAAATTGGATTATGTACGTTATTACAACCAAACTCTCTATGTGTTCGAGATTCGTTTGAGCCCCGCCGCGGTGGTCTCGTGGCTAAGGTACTCGGCTGCTGACCCGCAAGTCGCGGGTTCAAATTTCGGCTGCGGCGGCTGCATTTCCGATGGAGGCGGAAATGTTGTAGGCCCGTGTCCTCAGATTTGGGTGCACGTTAAAGAATCCCAGGTGGTCGAAATTTCTGGAGCCCTCCACTACGGCGTCTCTCATAATCATATAGTGGTTTTGGGACGTTAAACCCTACATATCAATCAATCAACATGTGGACCATTGTGAAAAGATTAGGCTTTAACGTTCATTAGGAGGTAAGAAATCTCGCACCACTGTTAGGCCACAGAATTCATCACATGTCATTGCTGCAGTTTCGAAGATCATCTTACAGTTAGCGGGCTGTTCACTGTTCGCTTTCTTGTCTGTACAGCTTGCTTAATAAACTCAGGCTTCTAATTTATTCACCACAAAAAAGTTTACTGAAAGTGCATTTTCGGTTTTTGAAATGGGGGCCTATATAACAGCTGTAGTTTTTTAATGAACCATAACTGTCTCGCAACTTGTTGGTTTTCTGCCTAAGCTTATTTATTTATAAGTGGCAAGGGCAGTTGGCCACCGCTGAGCTAATGGAGTCGTTGTTCTGGGCGTTGGAACCTATATTAGGTATTGGTAGCATAGGTGTGATGAACAACACACCGGAAAGCACAAAATGCAGTGCAATGATAAAACAATTCCATTTTCGACTGTTCAAAAGGAGAAAAGCAGACCAGCGTTTTGTCTAGAAACTATATATGCAGTCAGGTAGCCGCAGATTGCATTTTGTTTCAACAAAGGTCAATGAGCATGCCAAAGTTTATCCAAACGAATAGCTTTACGTAAGGCGTCGCAAACTAGACTCAGCTAGAAGGCCACGCAGTCACTAAACTTAGGCCTACATGCGACGGAAAAGTGAAGATGGTTTGCGGAGTTGGACGGTAGACGTAAAACTGAATCTGCTCTTCATCTGCTATTTGAGCAAACGCGTTCTTCATATAGCATATGTGCGTTACTTCTGAAGGATATTTGGCATCAGGGATCGAGAAAGACATCGGTGTTGCTCTCCAGAGTCACTCAGATGTGGATGACGATTCCATAATGTAGAAATTTTGTTTGGCGGTTATGTTTCAACAAGTGCTCACCGCACGGCGTGCCTGATAAAATGCATGTGACCTGTCGCTTTAGGCGTATAAGTATTTGAGTACCTTTTAACGTAGTCAAAAATATCCTAAAGCCGCGGGCTGCGAGCAACGTGTTTAAAGACTCCTGTTGCGTTTGCTCTCGTGCATCTGCGAGAATTGAGAAATAGAGGACTATAGTTACAAATTCTAAGTATTCCCGAACTTGGAAGGCACTTACTTTCGTAAATAGTACAAAACTTGTTTATCAAAGCAAATCAGTGAAAACTGCCTGTCGCAACTCGCATGACCAATATAAACAAAACTTGCTAAATACGGTTATCACACTGCATTACTGACGCACACAAACTTCGCAAGGAGCAGGGAGTGTATACTCAGCCTGTAAAGCAGCATGGCACAATTACATTACTCTCCCACACCGAGCACTCCAAAAACGCTCGATCTGCTTTATCATGCCATTATTTTTATTGTTGTCATTCCCTGCAAAAGCCCTTAGATAGCGATGCTGTGCGTTGTAAAACGTGCGATATGCACCTTTTCTGGTTAAATAAACCTTTTTTTTATTTCCTGAAAGCACACTCACTTATGAGCATTGAAGACATCGTAAAATTTACCCTAGTGCGCTGTACATTTCTAAAACCTAACTTCAAAGCAAGACTCTTTTACTGCAATAGCAATTATATAGACACTCTCGGCTGGATGTCGTTGCCGGCGTCGGTGTGGGCGTCGGCGTCGGCGTCGATGTCATGCACCGTATGTGTGTACGTATCTTAATATATGAAAACGCAAGAAAGAAAAATAATTCCAGAATAAAGACACCGGTGCGCGGAGTAGAATGGAGGACCCCCGCGTTGTGATTGTGAGGCATCACCCACTGAGCCACCGAAAGGTACCTCCTTCCACGTTCAAACGGCAAGCTAATCATATCTACCACAAGCGACTTCTCTATTTTTTCAGTGCCCGAGCGAAGGAACGGATTTCACTGGGAAGTGGCCGTCGGTGCTAGTGTGGTGTTTCGCCACCAGGCACCTCAACTGGAGTAAAGAATATACAGCGTTATCTCTTGCGCAAACGAATGCCGCGGCTGCATTTGAAGCTGCTGTACGGCTCGGTTTTCGGCTTTATTTGCATTGTTTAAGATGTAATCGAAATTAGGAAACGAGAATCGCAAAGCACTTGTTGTTCTGGACATCCAGCTCATTTCAAAAGCATGTGATGTTCACGACTAATTGATCGAGGCGCTCGCGCGTAGTCTGCTGGTCGATTTCAGATAGCTGATGCCAGTAATCCGCGGAAAACTGTTTTTGTCACCGTGGCCTTAATTTGACTGACAGTTGCTTTTTTTGACTAACTGAAAGGCGATATTTGAGAGAAGCCTTTGCCAGGAGCTAATATTAAAAAAAACGCCTATTGTTGTCCGATGCTTGCTACTCTCTGGTGTACCACATTATGCGCAAGCCTAGAGTTCCTGCACTAAATAGCACACAAATGCCACTATTCTGCATGCAGGGATATAGGCCACCATGAGTTCCCTTCGCAAATCATTACATGCGTTGCCACTGAGAAAATAACCCGGCACAGATATTTCTGCCGAGGCTTGCACACCATGTTAGTAGTGAGGCATATCAGGAAATTTGCTGTTTCGAAAGCAGTTGTACTTACGGACATCTGGAGCGGTATTAAAGGGGCCCAGACAAAACGAAGCTGACCACATTATCGCCTTGGTACCTGCGACGAAATGAAGCACTGGCTGGTTACAAAAATGAATGTGTCACCAATGTGTGCGTGACGATTGTCCCTCGTTAAAAATAAGTATGTGTAACTCAGTCTAATTCACTTCTGTTTAAAGAAAGCGCATGAAAGGAGCTTGTTTTGGTCACTGTGTGCCTGACCTAAAAACGCTGAGACAAAGCCGACTACACTTTCACGTTGGTACCTGTGACAGAATGGAGTCTTGCGTAATTAAAAAATTACTACATTGCCTGGCAACGCAATGCAGTAATATACATACAGAATGCCAGAACTTGCGTACCTTGACTACATGTTTCTCAGTCTATCCCAGTTGCCTTTTGGTAAATTCGCTGAAGGTCATTCCCATTGTTACACTGACATCCTTTGTGAATACCGCAGGAACCTGCTGAAAAAATGCTTGTTCCTTTCACACTGGTGGCCGTGACCCTACTTTGTGGCCTGTCCTCGGCGCAATACGGCGGAGGCGGGTTCGGATCTGGAGGCTTCAAATCCGGAGGAGGCTATGGCGGACAAGGAAGCGGCTATGAATATGGTGGAGGCTATGGTGAACAAGGCGGCGGCTACGAATCCGGAGGAGGCTATGGACAAGGTGGCGGCTATGAATCGGGAGGAGGTTACAAGAGCCCCATGACGGGTTCTTATGGTGGAGGAGGTTTCAAGCCCGTGCCAAATCCGTATGGTTGAGGCTCTCTCATCGCCTTAGTACAAACTGTGATGATACGCTCTTCTTGACTGAGAGAGGAAGGAACCTGTGATATAGCCTTTAAAGGAAAATAAAGTCAAATGTATACTTGAAATATGCCCCGAAAGCAAACAAAAGTGTTTTATCACTTCCAGGGACGGGTGAATTACCGATGTGTGACTTAGCAGTGTGTTCATTTACGCAGACACGCTGGTAACACGCCGGTAGGATCATCTCCAGTGAAACGTCACTAAGTATTCTTTTTCTTGCTAATCAATTTACGTGAAAAGAATGGAATTCCATGAGAACGTGTCCACTGCGGCAATACTGTGGGCATGCATGCAATAATATATTGACTCTTTCGGTTTCCACTACGACTCTTGCAGTACACAGGTAAAGGAAAGCACTGTAATACTTATATGCATATACTAATTGATATCCCTTATGGTAACCATAATAAGTCCGCATGCTTCCAAATTACTGAATACTGCTTACGATGAAGCTATTTTCTGCAAAGAAATAACTGAAAACTGTTTTGATGATTTCAACAGTTGCGAGGTAAGAATTTTTGCACGTTTATTTACTTAACGTAGCTCTGTAGTTGCCACAATTTTGACATGATTTTACGCGATAGCATGAAAGCACTCGTTTTAACGTAAATTCAGTTTCAGCATCGATGACCTCAGTTGTGAGCAAAAAGTTGTGATCAGTGAACCGAATGTTCGGGTCCCGATTGAAATCCCTAACTTTAAACAATTAAATACTTCGAAGCATCAAAAGGAGAGTGTTGTACAAGGTACTTTATTTTCTCACTTGAATTTCTTTCTTGCTGCGCTGACTGTCACACAAAACATTGATTATAAACAGGACAGTGTTTGACAGACGTGATGTGTCGAGAAAGTATAGAACATTCTCTTTTAGCTCATTATCAATATAGAACAATTTTCTTTCTCTTTCGCGTTTGTTCACGCAAGATTTCAAAGAATAAAAATTTAGGGGTGTGACAAATACGACTCTCACATTTTGGCAATTAAATGGCAATGTTAGGTGTGCAAATTACCCCCACTACAAGCAACCAAGCTGCAGGAGAGTATATATCGTAATGTTAGTCCGCAACAGCGCATAGTTAGAGTTAAGCTGCCTGTTCCGCTTTCCTTTCTTTGTCGTTATCCATAGTAGGCGCACCGTTATCTAATAATGACCAAAGAAACAGAGCAAGCAGTGGCAGCGAACCATTCGGCACCACCATGGGCCCCACTGTGCTCCTCGGGGACTCTGATCTAACTATGGCGATGACGGATAGTGGAACATGACTGGGCCCTAAGGAACTTCGCCCCTAAAAAAATTGTTTAGTAATCTTATCAAAGGTATCCCGACACAAAGCTTTTCAGCAGCAGTGGTGTCATTTTGTTAATTTCTGAAGTCGAAAAGAATTGCACAGTAGCTGACGAGGACTGCGTGATCCCCACCTCAACAAAAGAGTTCTCGTTAAGTAGACGATTTCACAACTTTCATTGTGTCAATTTCTTCCATGTGAAAATGCTAGTAGGGTATAAAACAGTTGAACGATTTTGAAGATGAATCTCAATATGGCAATAGCTTGATAACAATTGTTAAGTGTTGATATATCCACATTATTCTGCCTATATAATATCTCCATCATCTCAGCAAATTATCTTCCTAATTGCTTGGTTACAGATCAGTTTTTGTCGTGGTCAAACAAATTTAGCTGCAGAGAAATCAGGCAAAATTCGAATACCAGCGCTTTCCCAGCAAAGGGATTGAGACAGTAAATATTAAGGTAAAAGGCTTATATGCCACATGAGACACAAAACTTTATTATGGGCATTGACGGCGTCATCGCGAGTGATGCGAGAAACAGTGATCACTGGATGACGTCGCCTTATTACGCCACTACGATGCTCCATTTCGCCGAAGTTTTTGAGATCATGATTGCATCACACTAAACGTGGAGTCACATGGCGTTGTTCACATGACATTGTCGCTTGGTCAAAAGCTGGAGGATCACAGAAGCAATACAGTTCGTGGTAACGTTAAAAAAACTTTAAAATGCCCACGATAACATGCGAAATTACGTTACGCACAGAGGAGATTTCAAAATTGATATTGTAGAACTAATGGATACTGGCTGAGACTTGAAAAAAGATAATGACAATTATTACTTTGGAAGTGTGTCGGAAGGAAGCATTAGTGATTCTGTGAGATTTCAACCGAAACTTTTTAGGAGCGAAGCTCCTTAAGGCGTGGGCTGTGCGTCCCCTGTATGTAGCCACCTCTCGTTCAGTTCTAAGTATTACGCTAGCCGCCGCCCGATCTAAAGGGTACAGCCATATCCACCCGTCCATCCGTCCGTCCGTCCGTCCATCCGTCCATCCGTCCATCCGTCCGTCCGTCCGTCCGTCCAAAAGATGCAAGATGTTATAAACTAGACAGCGGTACGTGTAGTTGATTATGAAAGATGCGAGGTGTTATAAAATAGGAATGATGCCACATATGGCGCGTGTCATCGTTCGATATAGTGCGGCGACGTACGCTAGGGGGAGCGTTGCAATAAAATCGAGTGGGCAAAATGTACGGAGGATTCATGGTTTACCAGGTTTACCTCCGGAGCTTCGCCCACTCATCATCATTCACTTCGTGGATATGGCGGCATTTTTTGTATTGCGGGGTTGTGCACTCACGTCCGTGACAATAAGTGCTGCGCGCGTTAAGGATGTGATCCCGTTATTTTATTGATTATATCGCTACTTCAACCAGCAAAGCGACACCGCTGCTGGTTGAAAATGGGAATGGTGGGACGACTGAACTATACTAAACCTGCCTTATAAAACGCGAAGTGTACTTTCGACGCAACAACGAAAGTATAGATAGCGGTGACGCCTTGATTTAAAATATATGACCTAGAGGTGACGCTGACGAATATTCATGTCAATAATTGATAAGCCATATGAGCGCTACATCGCAAAAAGCATACAATAAGAAGTCATTGCAGGCAAATTTGAGTTGAAAGGGAGGCGACATTAACTGCATCGACATATTACTACAGTTTCATTGTTCCTTTAAAATTATTTATAGAAAGGCTAAAACAAGCAATATGAAACGCTATTAATACTCGAAATACTAATCATAGACAAGTATTTGCATATATTGAAAACCTACAGATATTGTTTGATCTTTATACAAAATATTTTTAGAAACGATCTCTGAGAAAGGCTCTTTGGAAAAGCTTGAAGTATCAGTTACGGTCTCTTCTGAACAGAACAAAGAAGGTCTCTTAGAAAAGGGTTGTGCAACCAGACGCGTTCGGAAAGGAGCGTATGCAAACGGCTGTACAGATAGCGCCAACATATCAACAATGTAACAGCCGGTGGGATCGCAACCGAAATGACCGATTGCACTCCACCAAGATCGCACGCAGTGCCTTTCGATCTTCGTATTCTGTTTAAGACAACAGGTCGACGGCAGGTATTAAAAGCGGCGAGACAATGTTACACCTTGCTGTCAAGTTATGACATGTAACTTCTGTTTTCATTGAAGCGTTCGAATGAGGTCCTAATCTTAATCACAACAACATGCTTTCTGCCAATTGATATACATCACTTTTTAGTTTACCGCTCTCAGCATTCAAGTACATGCGTGCAGTATAGTACCATGTCGAAAATTTGCTTTGGGTTGAGTGCTCTGCGACTATGCGAATTTCCGGCATTGTAAATCTAACAACATGGTTCTGAATGGTTCTGATGCAAGCTCCATCGCCGTCGTGTAATTCCTGAGACAGTAAACGAAAAATGTTTGCTAATTATATGCATTAGTCAGGGTCATTAGCCAAAGGGTGGGAGAGGTGCAACCCACTACTTCTAAAATTTTTTAATTTTACTTGTGAAGATGGACACACAGACACGAAAACCCACGCATTAACATAAAAACAAAGTATGCTTGAACGCCAGCCTGCCCCGGCGCCCCGACCTCCGTCCCCCAGGAGAAAATTCTGGCTCTCGCATGAATGGTGTGGGATGGCCGATAAAATTGTGAATAAAACGTTGAAAACCCGAAACGTTACCTTTCGGTTCAGATACAGGAGCAAACCTGCGTCAATACACGGCTACACGCACCGAACATAGCAAAAAACAGCTAGCTGGCTTAGGTTGGGAGATTGAAGATATATACTAGCGCTGAGTCTGGAAACATCTCTTCTTGGCAACCTTCACAGTGGTCTAATAGGGGGTACTGGAAGCGTCTATGTCTTGGCGCATTTCATCACATCACTTCATCAGGAGTTTTTCTTTTAGCCTCTATGGCCAGTGGGTGCTGGTTCTTGTGGTTGTCACCTGCTGTTTCCGGAAGTTGGGTTCCTGTGTTTTCGGGCTGGCATTCACGCGTACCATGAAATAACATGGCTGAAACAACTAAATCTACCGTCTTCAGCTGACCTAGAAATTTTAACAAGTAAACATTCACGCCAAGCAAGCCTGCTTTGGCTGTTTATTGGCAATAGTGACTGCAACAGTTTCCATGTAAACGACTCATGTCAAACGTCACAAACTTGCTGAAATCGAGGGCTTGACGGAATCCCGTCTAGTCAAGAGGTAGTATTGAAAAATAAAAAGAAACGCCTACCAATATAAAAACTCTAAAACAAAAGGACAAGTTTTCGCTCCTGTCTGGAAGCGTTGTTCACAATGCAGTTCAGATTTGTCATTTGAACTCGATTGCGAACGAGCTCCCTTATGGGAGATGAAACATCTTGTTGTGTTTTTGAAATGTCGTTGTTATGGTTGGTGTTTCTTCTTTTGCAAGTCTCAAAGTTGACCTTTTTATAAATATTCATGTTTTTAACATAATTCCTACCTTAAATTGACCAACTTTACATTTGTGTGCTTGTTCAGAATACCCCTTCAAACACACAGAACGAAGCTTGAGACAACCACATGTTAATGCTGTGTGAAACTTGTAATCTACTTAGTATAGTAATGCCCGTTGT